AAAGTAAGGTAATGTGAAATTAAATGAAAACGTCAGCTCTACTCACATAATTGTGGAAAAATTCTACCACCAGTCCTTCATCACCTTAAACGAAATTGGGTGAATACATCTCATACTACTGATTTACTGGTAGTCTCAAAACAATACATAAAATGCGAAAAAAAAGATTTAAAAACTATTGAAAGAGAGTATATTGTCAATAATGACACGCCTTCCTCTCCTCTTCGGTGCATCACATTTTGCAAAAGACGGAGGTTGGATCGCACCTCGAGCGCTTATTTGGCGGGTCGCGATCGCCTCCAGAGCTCAAGGGACATGTCCCGGGCTCTTCGAGTCCCCAGCTCCGGAAAGGGCAGCAGAACCCTGCGCTCCTCTCCAAGCGCCCATACAGCAACGGCCGAGTCAAGGGGCCCCAAGTTCCGGCAACGCAGCCCAGCAACCTCGGTCGGCGGCATCTCATCCACTGGCTCCGGCGTCAGGCCGAGGCCGGTCGGCTTCAGCGGCACCATGACGCCTGTCAACTCGGGCCAGTCACCGACGGGGGCACCGACCAATATTGAGCTGACGCCATGCGGACCAATCAGGCAGCCGTTGCCCGGGCCCCCCGGGCCCCTCGGGACTAGAGCCAGTCTGCAGCGCGTCAGACGCATCAAGGCGACTGCGGAAGAGACGGAGAGTACGACGGTCGCCGGAATTGTGGATGGAGTTGGGGGATTCGAGGGAGCGAGTGGAGGTGTGGCGGCAGTGTTAGGCGGCGGTCTGAATGGTGGGATCACTTCTGGACACGGCATGAGGCAGCATTTCTCTGCCAACATCCACATGATCCCGATGGGAGCCGGCCTTCAACAGCAGGCCTTTAAGGCTCGAAAATGATAGATTGTGAGTATTTGAAGGAAAAGTTATTTGACCAAGTAAAACTTAATTTTATTTAGGACAATTAATGGTCAGAATCATTTATCAAATAATATTGGATATACATAAAAGCATCACATCATATTATATATATATATATATATATTACGTTATATGTCATAAATATATCTGGTTTAGGTATTATTATATTAAATTATATATATTTACGCTTAGTTAGTATCAGCAAACTTCTGCTTAACCAACTCCGATATATTTTTTTAGAGAATATTTCTATGAAAGCAATATGATATATATTCACCCTATTTCATTTAAGATGATGATATGTTTATAGCTAAACTTTTCATTGAATTTCACATAGCTTTGCTTGCCGTTTGCTTCATCAACAATCTCACCAAAGAATATGATATGACAGAAGGCCTGGCCTTCCTTAAAATTCACATCTGGCCGAGTTTTTAACGTGTCAAGCTCACATTCTGTACTGTCACGGTTCGACTCCGGCTGAGGCTGTTGATGAAACCAATGTGAGGTCAAAACGGCAGGACACTAGTGCCTGGATGAGAAAAACTTTTGATAAAGCAAGGCTATATTAAATTGAATGAAAAACGTCAGCTCTACTTATATGATTGTGTGAAAATTCTTATTCTACCACTCTTTTATGACCTTAAACGAAATTA